TCCTAGGCCCGTGCCTCTCGCCTGCTCTGCTTCAGGCACGGCACCCTAGGCGTCCATCCCACCTGGGCTTCTTACACACAGGAGCTGTGTTCTTGTCACCAGGTATCGCAATATAGATCTACATATAATACAGATATTTAGTAAAGTGGAGCCTTAATAAATTTTTATTGAACAAATGGCAAAATCATAATAAATAAGCAGAGTCTTTGAGGGCAGTCACCCAGAATAAAGCTCTGGGGTCCTTTGCTATCACTCAGAAAGCAGCCACAAATAACCAACAACTCAATAAAGTCGCTTATGGACAACCACCAAGTGCCACTCGGGCTGGCTGGTTAGAAAAGGGGACAATTATACCGGAGATGTCAGAAATAGACAAGGGAAGGCGATCCATCTAAAAACTTATGATAAATCATGCAATATCTTAGGTTTGGCTCCAGGGTCCCAGTGCTACTTGGTAACTCTTGCTATGAAATCTGGAGTGATGTCTGATCAGGCCTACATCAGCCAGCCGAGGCCGTGGACTCCAACAGCCTGACACGTCCAGGTCTCCCCGGCAGGGCTGTCAGCGGAGGGGCCGAACCCCTGCTGGTTGGGGTTTTCCTGATTGGCCGGCTGGGGTAGGCTCACAGTGAAAATGGCCTGAAATGAGGAGACACATAGACTGAAGGTAGGAGGGCAACTGGGGTGAGGAACGGAGAGATCATCTGCCAAGATCCAAGGGCAGATAGTGAATGAAAGTCAAAGCTGAGAGTCAGGAGCCAGGTCACACCCAGATCCATCGGAGGCTGGAAGGGAGCAGTGAGGAGGGTCTAAGGCTGCAGGCTCCCAGCTCATTTCCACGGGCTGGCGGGGCAGTCAGGCTGGCCCAGAGGCAGAGGGCAGAGCAGACATGACCCAGTCCCACCCCCATCCCCAACAAAGCCAGCCAACCCCCCTGAGAGCCTGGAAAGGCCTACGTGGACCCCACCCCTACCACAGGAGGGGCGAGACGAGTCTGAGACGGCTCTGAAGGTTTTCTCTTGCTAGGCAGTGGGAGAGGTGAAGGTGAGGACTGAAGTGTGTGACCTTCCATGAGTCATCTTCTCTGGGACACCATGGACTGTACACCAGGACTCTTCCCTTGCTTCTGCAATCTGTTGGAGTTGGCCCAGGGGAGGGCCCAGGGCCTGACCCCCTGCCTCACACTCCTCTATTCAGTCGCAATTAGAACTGCTCGGGCTGGAGTCATCAGCATCCAGGAGGAGAATTCCTTGCAGCCGGAGATTTGCTGACAGAATTTATGAATCCATCATTAGCTCTGCGGAGACAATGAGGCTATTCTTGTCCGCACTCGGGGATGGATGCATGTGCTGTGCATGCTGACAAACATCCTTTACGGTTTATAAATAACACAGCACGTGCTCCCTCCTCTAGTGGGAACAAATCCGGTTTGCCTGCTGCAGACACGGCGCAATTTCATCAGATAATTGCTGCTGGAAAAAGAGCTCCGTGTGTGCTCATACATCTGGCCTTCAGCACGGCGGAACTTTTCCATAAAATGTATACTCACGTTGGAGGCTGGCAGGATTCACTTGGAGAGAAAACTGAGTTCAAATAAAGCTACACAATGCTGCAGGGACCAAATGTTCTGTTCATTGATTTTTTTAAAATAATGCAATAAAGTCTATTATACACACATGTAGTTACTACTTCTCTTTGTCTTTCCTATCAAGAAAGGAGGGCCTCGTGGTAGCTTGTTTCTCTGAAGTGTTGTAGAACATACCTAAAGCATCTTCACATTCTCACAACCATGACCTTGTTTCCTCCTTTTCAAACATCAGGACACTGAGGCTGAGAGAGGTGAGGTGGCTTCCCCAAGTGCATTCAGAGAGAAGCAACAGATCTGGAATGCAAACAAAAGGTATTCTGACGAGGTCCACTGCCTTCTCCCATCTTCAAATCCATTGCATCTCAGTGCTGTTTTCTGTTTCCCCAAAACGTTTATAATACACTTAAAAGTTGTCCCAACATTAAGAGTGATTCTTCCATTCTAGATTTGTATGTCTTGATTTTAAATTAGCATCCGTGTCCTTTCACATGATGATATGTCATCAGTTACCTTTCTGCTGACGCCTGTAAATGTACTGACAGTCAAATTGTGTTTGATTTTATTAATGTAGTACAATCAGACAGAAAAATGCCTGATCCTGCATGGTTACCACTGAGATAAGCCAAAAGGAGTCTTGCATTATAATAATATATGGAATACCTATGGCACTGCACCAGACACGTGATTCAGATTAGCCAGTGTAATCCTTACACTATCCATATATGAAGCTCGGTATCAACCCATATACAGATAAGGAGACTGAGGCTTAGAGAGTTTAAAGAGGTTGTCTATGATCACAGACAAAATGAGATTATATAGAACTCATTTATCTGACACCAAAACCCATGTTCTTACGCACAGTTCTTTTTTCCCCAACCAATAAGACGCATTTATATTAGCTCACCATTGAAATGAAGGTTTCTTAGTAGCTGGGTAACTTGGGTGCAGTAGGCTGAATATCAGCCCCAAAGATATCCAGAGCCTAACCCCTGGAACCTGTGATTGTTACCTTATATGACAAAAGGGACTTTGCAGATATAATTAAATTGGGGATCTTGATATGGGGAGGTCACCCTGTATTATCCAAGTGGCTCCTAAATATAATCACAAGTGTCCTTATAAGAGTGAGGAAGAGAGAAATGTGACACAGAAGAGGAGAAGGTCCACCAGAATGAGGGGTCCACAAGCTAAGGAATGCAGGCAGCCATCAGAGCTGAAGAGGCACCCAATGGATTTCCCCCCCACCCCACCCCACCCGCCTCTAAAAGGAACTAGCCCTGCAGCATCTTATTTTCAGACCCTGAGACTCAGTTCAAACTTCTGTCCTCCAGAACTGCGAGGGGATAAATTTCTGTTGTTTTAAGCCACCACGTTTGTGATAACTTGTCACAGCAGCCCTAGAAAAGTCAGTCATAGGAAGGAACCTGTCGCTCTATCAAGCGGGAATGAAAATAGGCGAGCTGCCCGGGTGGTGGGAACACTAAGAGAGACATAACACAAGAAGACACTGCAGCTTTTTGTCACCAGAGGCCTAATGACATGGAAGAGAGTCTGACCAGAGATGACCACTGTGGGGACTGAGCTGAGAAGGTTCTGGGGAGGGATTTCCAGTTGGCCAACCCAGAAGGAAGCCACTGCTCCACCCATGCTGAGGGCTCTGGTGAGCCAGCTCCAGGAATCAACAGGCAAGACGGGCAGAAACGGACCCGCACGGCTCCGACCGCAGCGGCTCACGCAGGGGGCCCGGGCTTGGGAAGCTCGCCGTCAGAGCCCACAGATGAGAGTCCCGAATCCTTGAAGAACCACAGCTCTCCCTCTGCACCTGCCCTCAGCCCAAGGAAGGACCGCAGAGCCCGCTCCAGCTTCAAGGGCCTTCTAGAAAACGCCTCTCTATGAACAAACGAGTCAGCTCTGTGGGTCAGGAGGGGAACGTACACAGGCCAGCATTTCTCCCTTCCAACTCATGTACTAGAAAAATCGGCCTGACAGAGCTTGTTACTCTTTGTCTCTTCAGCTGATGTATGTGCTGACGAGTCCTTAAATCCACTCCCGAACACATCGGCGTGGGAGGCAGTGCATGCTGTGGCCAAGGCGCGGGCTCTGGATCCGGCTCCAGGGTCTCGGCCCAATTCCATGACTCACCGTGTGACCCTAAGCGAGCCCCTTGAACCTCAGTTTCCTCGCCTTAAAATGGAGATGGTAATAAACCCTGATGCTAGGAATATTGTAAGGAATAAATGAGATGATATAGGCAAAGCACTTACATAGTAGTTTATTATTATTGCTGTCACTGTTGTTATTACTTTACTATTTCTTTATTATTACTATCACTATTACTATTACTACACAGGCAGTCTTCAGTTACTTCACTACCAACTGGGAAATCTTTAATGAAAGCAGGTCCCAAATTCTATTGCTATGCTTCAGAGCTATATTTCTACCAACATCAAAGGCGTTTGGGGGAAAAGGAAGATTTTTTTTAAATGGGCAAAAGGATGCCACCCATGCACGTAATAAGCCTCTAGATTTAAAAGTGACAATAAACCCTGTTCAGTTATATCCATCTCAGGAGTCAGGGAAACATTAGGGGGAGTGATGAATCAGAGTTACCTTCATCGATAACCTACACACAATGTCCTTTCAATGAAATGCATCTGCAAACATAAAAAGCTGGATAAGAAATCCACGTGGCTCTTCCACCCTAGAGAGCTCAGGGAAGAAACCAGCCTAACAGCATGAGTTAGGGTCGCCGTGTGTCTCCGAAATTGAGGCTTAGCTAAATTCTCTCAGCGTGGGACAGAATTGCTCTGCCACTGCTCTGGAAATGGGTACGTATGTCTTCCTTTGTTATGAGGGGTTTCTACACAAGATTCAGACATTACTGTCTCTAGGGCTATTTTTAAATGGTGGCTCATTTTGTAGGTGCTGGCATAGCTTTTCTCAGTGATTTAAGTTTCACTCCTCTGGCCACAGTGAATCACATTTGTGTGTTGGTACATTTCTCCTTTCTTCCATTAACTGAATGCATCTCTGCCTGTGAGTGTGTAGGTTCACTCTGCTCTGCATAATTTGCAGGTGACAAAATTTTATCTTAGCAACAGAAATTATAAAATACAAAATATATGCTGGAAACATATCTGTACGGGCCCACGTTTCATTCCTCTATGCCAATTTGACTTTGTCAGTTTACACTGCACAGGCTGTTTTATATGGACATTAACTTCTACCTGCCCATCAGCACTGAGCAGAGCCTCCTGAATCAAAGAACTAGCCCACTGTTGATGTACATCCAAAACTCAAAAACGTACAGAAAGGACTATGGAGGCTCCAAAAAGAGTGTTTTCCTTCCAAGCCACTTCTGAACATATTGAAATGTACTCACTTGACATAAAAACATACAACGAAGACATTCTCCGTACTGAATTAGGCAGTTTATTAGGCTCCTAATTTCCATGTCTAGAACATGAACATGGATTTACATGCATTGTCTCATGTTGTGGATCTTACATGCATGTAGCCTTCGGTCAGCTGGGCCTTTGATTCTACTTGTCAGTAATTGACAGTTAGCTCAATGTTAGTAAATGACAAACACAGAATGATACCTAAGCCGTAGCAACAAATCCCACCCAACACCACTTATCTTTTTTCCCCCCAAAGTCATATCACAACTCCCTCTTGTAAAAATAAATTTCAGAACAAGGCATTTAATTCACTTCACTGAGAAAAATAAAGAGGATTCTATCATTTCGGAGCAATGAGTGTCCAACTATGGCTGAAAGGTACACCCTGAGAAGTAAATGATTTTAACGAGCCCATTGAGGTTTATAAAGCTGCGTTAACCTATCATCGGGAAGGGACGCAGGGGACAGGCCCACGCGCCCCTGCTCATCTTGCGGTGCAGTTCTCCAAGGGCGCCGTGTTATAAGCGTCCTCGGCATCCTCGATGCTCGAGGCATCTGTGGAGTCAGGGTCGCCCACCACGATGCCCACGGACGACAGGCTGGTGATGAAGGCATGCACCCGCTGCGCGTAGGCATCCCGAATGTTGAAGTAGGGGAGCTCGGGACACTTCTCGGGGGGCTCCTCGCTGCACTGGTCGGCGTCAATGTCCTTTTGCTTCTGGTAGTACTTGGAAAACTTGTTGAAGATGATGGTGATGGGAAGGGCCACCACCAAGATGCCGCAGATGATGCACGTGCTGGCGATGAGCTTCCCGGCCAAGGTGACGGGGTGGGTGTCTCCATAGCCCACAGTCGTCATGCTGATGGTGGCCCACCACCAGCAGATGGGGATGCTGCTGAGGCTGGACGTGTGGTCATCCTTCTCCACAGAGTAGATGAGCACGGAGAAGATGGAGATGCCCACGGACAGGAAGAGAAGCAGCAGCCCCACCTCGTGGTAGCTGTGCCTCAGCGTGGCGCCCAGGGACCGAAGGCCCACCGAGTGGCGGGCGAGCTTGAGGATCCGGAAGATCCTCATCAGCCGGAGCACCTGCACCACCTTGCCCATGTTCTCGATGTCCCCACTCTCCTCGTCCTTGGTGTCCACGGCCAACGTGGCGTAGAACGGGACGATGGAGACAAAGTCGATTATGTTCAGGGGGTTCTTCCAGAATTTCTTTTGACAGGGAGCAGCCACCAGCCGGATGGCGAGCTCGCCGGTGAACCAGGCGATGCAGGCGACCTCCACGGCCTCCAGCACGGGGTCGCCCACCTCCCGGTCCTCGCCCTGGAGCTCGGACATGCTGTGGACGCACATGGCCGCGATGGAGGCCAGCACCACGCTCAGGGAAGACAGGGCGATGAGCTTGGCCGACAGGCAGGAGGCCGGGTTTTCCATTCGGACCCAGATCTTCCTCCGCAGCTGGCCAAACCGCAGCTTGTCGAACTTCTCCAGCTCCTTCTCGAACAGAGACGACTCTTCGAAGGAGGAGTCGGTGCTCACCTCGTTGCTCTTCTGGTCCCAGTCCCGCTCGTGGCGCGTCTCCTCCTTGCGCTCCTGGTAGAGGTTGCTGCAGCAGGAGTCGAGGAAGAGCTCGTTGATCCCCCAGTACTCGATCTCCTGGCAGAAGGAGAACACGCACAGCTCCTCCATGACGTGCAGCTTCCCCGTGTAGTAAAAGTTCAGGACGTATCTGAACAAGGAGGGGTTGCGATCGAAGTAGTACTCTCTGTCGGCCACGCTGTAGTCATCGCACAGCTCCAGGATGGCCTCCTCCGAGCGGCAGGCGAGCAGCTTTCCCAGCCTGGTGTGTGGAAACCGCAGGAGGGTGCTTTGGTCAACGGACTGCTTAAAGCCCCCCACATTCAGGTTGACAAGTTCCTCGTCTTGTCCAGGGCGATGGAAGAACTCACCAAACACCATGGTGGACACGGGCGGCGGGGAGCTGGCTGCGCAGGGAGACGGCGCCGTTCGCGCTGCACCTGGAGGGAGCACAAGACGCATCAGCGCTGGCCCGAGGGCGCGGCCGCGGGGTCGCAGTCCGCCCTGTCGGGGCCCGGGGACCGGGGACCGGCTACGGCAGAAGCAAAGGCAGGAAATGGGACGAAAAGCAATGCTGCGCCTACACATTGCAACGAAAGGGAAACCGACACAAGGCAGCGGGGTGTTTCTCAAACTCCAGGGTGCGTAAATCCATATTTCAGGAAAAAGAAAAGATGGCCGTATAACTTTTATGAACACCAATTCTTGGCTCTCTATTTATTAAGCATCTAAGATGTACCTCCCACCCCCCGAAGGGCAATGCTCTTCGGATCACTTACATGAGACGAGCCTCTCCAGGCTCAACCGGGAGGCGCCCGCGCTCGGGACCGCTCGGCGCCGACGTGACAGGCGCTCGCTGCCCGGCTTGTCGCTCATCTCTCCGGGTCCCCAGGGCGCCGCCTCGCGCCCTCAGGATCCGCTCTCCCTGCTGCCCTGCGCCTCGCCCCAGCCCAAACATCCCCGGGGGCTCGCTCAGCTCTCACGCGGGGGTGTCCCCTTAGGTCCCCACGCTTCGCTCCTTTCAGAGAAAGCCCTGTTCCCTACGTTTGGATGTGGGTAATCAAGAGGATATAATGATCTCTGTCCTTAAGCACCCTTTATCTTAAAGATATCGTTACACCGCATGGGATGGTGTTTCAGGTACATCCGCAGGGGAAGAAACCTTTTTAAGTTAATTGCACTATCGGTTTCCTGACACAAAACTCTCCCGCCTCCTCCGTCCCCTCACAGGCCATCGCCCACACGCCCCCAATCCGTGACACCCCAGTCTATACGGGCCCAGCACAGAGAGCCTGTTCTCAGTCCTGACGCTAACCAGGATGCACCAGACCCATTTCTCGGAGAGAAAAGAACAGATTTCGAGCATCATTCAATACAATGATGCTTCCTCAGAACAGAAGATGCAGATGAAACAAAGATAGGGGATCGTCACATGAGCTGACCAACAAGGGCAGAGGGAATTCCTAACAGCAGGCACCGCAGCGTGTGCAAAAGCCACATCGTGAATAGACAAGTCCTCATTTAATGTTGTCAATAGGTTCTGTAACGCTAAGTGAAACAGCATATAACAAAACCAATTTACCATCCACTAAATTGATACGAACAAGAGTTAAGTTCCGATGGCATCAAAATGACATTGAATGAAATGATGCTACACAATCATCTAAAGAGTCTGTAGGCAAGACCAGCAAACAGTCTTAACCCGTGAGTGGGCACGGTTGTATTTGTGATTGTGACCTAGAGAGATCCCATCATCAGCAGGGTGGGAGCTGCGGGGGAACAGGCTGGGGCCAAGGAGACAGGACAGGAAAGAGGAGGTGAGAGGACCCGAACTCAGGCAGCCATGGCATGTATAGAGGGGAAGTGAGAAATTAAAGGGGAGTTCATAAAGTGTATAGAATTGACAGAACTTGGTGACTGACTGGAAAGAAGGGACACGGAAGCTGAAAGGCTAAGGGGACTGTGTTTTCCACTCTGCGTAAGTGGTCAGATGGTGACACCATCAGAGGAGGAAACGACGTCGGAAAGGAACTTCTTGCCCCTTCCGCCTATAGAAAGCCAAGGCCGTCGGGGAGATAAGTGTACACACCAGAGGACACAGCCTTCTGCCACCCACCCCCGCAGAAGGCCTATGGTCATAATTTTCTCCCGGGACACAAACACTGAACGTGCTCCCATGAAACCAGAGGCCACAGCATGGCCTGACACACCATTTAATAGATTCGCTGACCTCTTCAAAAGACGTGATTTTTTTTCCTGCCTCTTCTTTCTATTTTTAGTTAGATATCTTCTTTGAAGAACCTAAATCAGAGCTCCTGGCTTGGTCCAAGTATTTATGGAACTCCAGCTCTCTGAAAGCAGGCTTAAGCTCATGGCCAGTATGGGAGTGAAATGTTCCAAGCAGCTCGTCTGAGCTAAGCTGGCATTAAGATTTTAATGGACGCGACCTCCTGGTGGATTACTTTCCATCTCCTTTGCTATCCTGAAAAGCCACAGTGAGAGAAAGCCAGTGTCTGCCTTTATGATACTCTGCATAAGTCAGTCTCATAATCTTGGGGTACGTAACCCATTTCCCGATAGCCCTGCAGTCACTTCTCTAAAGGACACTTCCGTCGCCCATAAGATCGGCCTTCTTGCCTGTCCTCTTTTTTATTCACTCCATGTCGGTGAAAACGCCCACCAGGAGGTCCCTTCATTCCGCAAACTCTAATCATAAAGGCAACATGCATCCTAAAATCAAAGGTTTCTTTTTCTGGGGCTTTCTGAAGACAGAAAAAGGATGCATCCTGGATGAGAGCCAACGCTTCAGCTAAGCAGGCGGGCTGAGCTTCTCATAGCAGCAGTGGCCCGGGTAGCGCTGGTTTCCTTGGCTGTGTAGCTATCACTGAATGAATGAATCATTTCCTATAATTCTCCAGCAATCCTAAGATCTTATACTCCCATGTTATAAATAGGGAAGCCTGAGGCTCAGCGGTTAGGCAAAATTATCCAGCTTTTATGGGGCAGACTCTTTCCACTATGACTCAAATATGAGTATTTAATTTTTTTTCATAAAGCGGGAGGAAGGAGGGACTGGCTGGTCATCGTTATGAAGAATGCATACTCTTTGGTAAGGGATTTATGCTACTAGCACGCCAAGGGCACACAGGGGCTCAAATTGGGCACCTCTGTGGGTACAGAAGGCATTTGGATGCGAGGCAGAAAAATCAACTTCTATTTTGACTCTCCCTGAAGAAGAGGTTGGGCTCACTGCAGCACCCTCGCTACTATCAATCCAAGTCACTTGTGCTGAGGACACTGCAGGCTGTTTGGCCACCCTGTGCCTTTCAGTGTTTGTAAGATTGAAAAGAAGGACAGAAATGCCAAAGGTCCAACATATTCACCGGGAGCTTAAAAGAAAAACTGCATCAGTCCACTTCTCTCCAAGTGACACCGTAAAGCCTCTTCGAAGCCATTAACCTCTGACCCCTCTCTCTGCTTCTTGCTCTCAGATTCACTTGAAAAATGCTCTCAAAACTGTGTCTATTCAGGGCTGACACATCTGTATGGACACGTGTGCGTCAGTGGCTTCGACGTGCATGTGCTTTGCTCAGAAAAGTAGAGCAAGCATAACAGCACAAGCCAGTTTTTAATTGGGCAGAACCACTCTTTAAAGGCAATTTCATAAAAGGAAATGAAAATCTAGATTCCTTGTTCCCTCCCATTCACACAAAATCGACGTTAGTCTCTTCATCAAAGGGAAAAAAGGGGACATTTTTCTGCACTGATGGCTGCCATCTTTTTGGAATATTCCTCAAAAAAACCAAAAAACTGCATTTCATTTTATTAATTTTTTAATTGTTTATGTTTTTAAAAGGTGTAGGTCATACTAAATTCTATTTCTGTCCATGCCATGTGAAAATATTCCAAATAAAAGCAAGCAAATGTAAAGTGAATTGAAAATCTAAACTCAATCTAAACAGTTCTCCTACCCCCTCAGGTCTGATCATTGCTGTCACAAACCCAGGGATTGAGCACCGCCCCCCTCCCCCCCCCAGGCACCTTCCCAGGTGATGACCTCTTAGGGCAAACCCCCGGTGCACTGGTGCGGGTCACATGTAAAAGACAGAGAACATGAGAAGCCAATGATGGGGCCAGAGAAGAGCAGAAGAAATGTCAACAGGATTACATAGTCCACCCTGACTGTGAACTTGGAAATAGAGACGCTGGCGGTCTGGTTCAGGCCTTTGGAAATCAGAGTGTTTTTACCACAACTAATGTAGTACAATCCTGAGAAAGAAAAACTGTTTATGGGACACCTAGAAACACATGCCCAGAGCCAGAGCTCAGAACACGAAATTTCAGAGCCTTCTGGATTTGAGCCTCTGTTTCCAGGGACCAGCGTTCTGGGACATTCTGAGGCTCTGACATGGAGCCATCTTTCCAGCAAACTTCCAAAGAGCTCAGCCCAGCCCAGGGAGGAAGCCTGGATATAACGTGGGTCCCCCTGGCCAAACAGACAGCAAGGGAAGGGTCCTTTGAGGCCTGTTCCACCTCTGACATGTTCTGACACCATGGGCACAGCTGACAAGACACAGGTCCAAGTCGTCACTGGGGCCCCAGGTCACCCTATTTCAGAACATTCATAACCTAAAGCCAACTTTCATATGTTGAACTGAACAAAGTGAATGCCCCGGGCCCCCCTACCCACGCTGAACTGAGAAAAGAGTAACAGGCTAGGACTCCAAAAACTTGTGTTTGAGTTGCTACTTCCCAGCTACATGACCCTGACCTTGGGAGGGGAGACTCTTGATCTATAAAGGACGAGAGACACACTTTGATGGTAAAAGGACAAATGCAAAAGTTTTTTGAAAACAAAGCACAACATATATATATATAACCTTATCCCAAAAATAAGAGATGGAGGTAAGAATGCCTCTACCTTCCCCTTCCTGCCCCTACTCCCTCCACCTGGTCCAGCAGGAAGGAGTGAGTGGCATTCATTCCCTCTGGACCCATTTAGGGAGGCTGCTCCCCTCTGGAATCTCCAGGGATCCCTGTAACGCACACAGCTCATGTCCACGCAGAGGGCTGCTCAGACGGCTGAGTGACTTCACGAGCCAAGTAGCCAGAAATCAGTCCTATTTCTAAAAAGCAAAGAATCACGGACAAGAAGGTTTTCAAACAGAAACAGGAAAAACGTGGACTTTGCCACAAGAGGGGAGCCTTCCCTCTGCAGTAGGGACCCCGTCACCCCATAGGGAGGAACCCACATACAAACGGCTGTAGTGGTGACCCTCTGGTGTCCAGCGAGGGAGTTTTGGAGAATCTGAATACACTTAAGCCAAAGTAATAGTTCTCCCCCCAGCTTCCCAGCTCCACCCACCTTCTCCCAGTCCTTCAGGTCCACTGTGATTTTAGTACCCACCACGAGATTAATGGGTTTTACAGTTCTCCTACCCCCTCCCCCATACTCCCACCCCCGTAGTCCCCCCCAAGTCTGAGCACTACTATCACTAGCCTCCAAGCTCTTCCACGGAAGGGATTATGTATTGTCATCTCCACAGCCCCAGCCCTTGGAGCTAACCGTTGCCTACAATCTAGTGAAAGATAGTCCCTTTTATCTGGAATAACTGACAAAGGCTGTAATGTTTTTGTCAAAGAGCTAACAGAATGACCAAACCAGGCATGGCGAAGTGAAACACCTCGGTGGCCAAACAAGTCAGTTAAAGAAATGAACTGGCCTGGTTGGGGACTGTGGGGAACCGTCCTTGCTCCTGCGGGAGGCAGAGGCTGCCCAGCGGCAGAGTTCTTCGTGGGAACAGAGGGCCGGTGCAGATGCATCTTCTGGGTTCCAGGAGAGCCTGGAAATCCTGTTTTCTACGTGGGATAGCTCAAGTTTAATCAGAATCGGCCCACCATGTTTTCAACATCATGTGGCTCAAATGAAAATGTGTCTCTGGCCCGGGTGCTTCTGATAAGCCCCTAACCTGTGACCTGGCCAGACTCTGACCCACCCCAGCTCCACAGCACCCATTTAAAGCCAGGCTGGCTCAAATGGATACAAACAGAATCTTTTCCCAAAAACAGAAGCGTGATTCCCTTAAGTCTGAACTGGAAATGTCAAGGGGGGCGGGAGGCGGGGGCAGGGCAACGTGGACACAGACTCTTCCCTGGTTGGCCTGCGCACCCCCAACACACCTTCAACCCTGTCCCTCCAGGCTGACGCTCTCCCTTCCTCCGCTGCCACCCGCCCCAACCGCCCTGCGATTTCACAATCAAAACAGCGGGCCTGGTGTGCCACCTTCGTTTCTGTCACCACACTGCGAGGCTCGCTCTCCCCATCCTTTGACAGGCGGTGGTGCAGGGAACATACCAGAGAGGAACTCTTACCTTCGTGGTGTTGAGGTCACGCACTCTGCCCTCATCCTGGCCGCGGGAATGTCCATTGTCATCCGAGAAGCTCTGCCCTCCTTCCCGAGCTGGAATGTGTGGTGCAGAGACGCATTTAGCGGCCAGAAAGCAGAGAAGAATCCTGCTGGGCCCAGCGAAGCGGCCGTGGGGGAGTCACGGTCACCTGCAGGAGAAAGCGTCAGTAAAGCTATGACTCCAGGGAGGAAACACACCCAGGACACGACATTCGTCTCCCGCTCAGCACCGGGGCACTTTACCGATTAGCCCGTATCTCAGGCCCCTCCGAGCTCTCGGGGAAGGGACAGTCATTTCTCACCATGGAGCCATCGCTCCCGCTGGACACATGGACCGAGAGGCATCGTCATGAGGCCTCAGGATTTACAACCACTCTCAAGCCTAAGGACTCTCAGATCTTGACTACAGTGGACACCTGGGGCATCTCCATGGACCCCAAAGCCAACCAAACATCCGACTATAAAACGAGGCACACGGATTAGGACTGTGGTCCCTCACCTCCCACACAGTCTCTTCTAGGAGTGTTTTCCCAGCTAATCCATTAAGGATATACTTATAGATCTCTAATGAATACATTTTAATCCATTTCCAAGACCAAGCGCTGAGGGCGAGTGCTCTAATGGGATTAACACCGGCTCTAATTTGAAATCGACCGGTTTGAAAGGCTGGCCAGGTTCGATTTCGCTTTACGTGTTCACTGCTGTACTTCGCAGGTTAGAAACGACTCCAGGTGCCGGGTCGGGGTCCTCCGGTTAACGCGTGGAGTGCACATGCCTGTCTGCGCGCGTGGGCCCGTCTGTGCGTGTGGGGGGTGTACACGGAGGGACAATTAAGTTTGTATCAAAACAAATAAAAGCAGGACTTTCAATTCTCTCTGAATGAGACACGGCGAGCGGAAAAAGAAGGCAAGCCTTGCCCCGCGCTGACACCTGCCCGCAGCTCCGTATTAGTTCCGAGCGTCTGCCCATTGATTTTCACGGTTTCCAATCGATGGCAGGTCCAAAGGGGTGGGCTTGGGCAGGAGGAAGAAGAGATTGATTCTGAGCTTCAGAAAGAGGGAAAGAGGCGCCTCTGGCTATGTCCTTCATTAAGCAAACATTCGTTACCCCGTCAGATCTGCAGGGCATTATGCCAGGCACTGGGATCACAAGCAGGATGCGGAGCCCGCCCCCCCCACCCCCAGGAGCCCACGGCCCCAAACCAAACATTAAACAAGTAAAGGCGTCCTGATAACGTCTAGGAAGCAACAAAGCAGAGGAGCGTCCAAGCTCTTCCAAGAGGTAGTGAGGGAGCATGATTGGGGCAGGAGGCGGGATGCAGCTCCACCCAAACGAGCTTCTGATACCCGATTCTTGGCAGAAGACAGAGAAACTCAACAGGGACAAACAATCGATTCAGAAGCTAAAATAATCCCCCTCCTTCTCCCCCTCCTTCCCCAGCGCCCCCCAGCAACCCCTCCTCAGTCAGCCTCAGATATTTGCATTCAAATGAGATAAGAAATGCTGCTGTGCCTTTTAAGGCAGATAGTCTTCCTTTCCCTAGCAGACTTCTTTCAAAATGTAGCACATTTTAAGGGAAGGTAAAATTAACCAAAACAAAAAATTAGCAAAATATTTAGGCTGTTGAGCACTTCTAACCCGCCTGCCCCCCCAGCACTGCTGGGCACCAACTCATCACAGCAGGACAGGACTGGGGAGGGGGGGTTGTGGATGGACAGACGGACTATGAGGTTAACCAAGTATATTTTTATAATAGAAACCCAGTGGCCCCCCATCAATGTCTGATGAATGACATCCCAAGCTGTCCCTTTCTCTCTCCCTCCCCACAAAACTCAGAATTCTTGTGCCGTTTGTCATTTTCCATCACCATGATTCCTGTCCAAAAAAAAACCTGGATTTGGGGGGGAAATGTTTTACTGGTCAATACTTGTAGGTGTGAATTTATGTCAGTTCACACCCTTCTTAGGGCATTCACGTTCTAAGTGTGACCTCTCCACAGAAAATGATAACTAGCATTTCTTGAGTCTCCACAACATGCCAGGAGCCTTCCCAGGGGTTTCACACACGTCACCTCTGCCCTCAACCCCTGTACCTGGTCAATGCTGTTATTCCCAATTTTACAGGTAGGACATGAAGGCTCAGAGAAGCTGTTTGCCCAAAGTCCCACAGCTAATGCGTGCCAGAGCAGGATTCCAGGGCAGGGAGGTCTGCCAGCCTGCAATCAGTGTGGGAAACCAAGGCCCACGTGGCGCTGTTGGGGAGGCTAAGGAGGGACTGAGAGGAGGGGGCAGAACATGCCCCAAACGGCAGGCTCTGGGGAGGAAAGGTGTGCACCTCCCGCACCTTCTCCCTTCCCGCTGAACACTCGGCCCGTCCAGTTTCTCGGGGTTCCCACGGGCCCTGTCACTGCGCAACTGATCCAAAGGAGAGCACAGCGCTCGCCACCGAGCACATACGCAGGTTTCTGATTTGCCGGGTGATTCATCAGGATCCTGGCAAAACACATCAACTTCACACAGAAAGTGTTGCTAGTCTGCACAGAATGCCCCTCTTCACCATAAAAGGGGCAACGGTCCGCCTCAGGGTTGCACTTGGCTGCAGCGTGGCTATTTTCCTGGTGAGCTGACTACAGGGTTCAAAACGGACAAAATAACCACCCCATTATTGAGAGGGAAAAGTGACGAGAAGGCGGCATGTTGGACTCTTTCATCATCCGGAGACTTGACATCCAATCTGGGAACAGAAAGAGGGATATCAAATGGACGAGCAGACCCAGGAGGGTAATGACCTGGTGCCCTTCTCCCAGGGCTCAGAGCCACAGCAGGAAGGTTGCCCGTCAAAACTTCAACTAACATCAGTGCCCGAGACATCAAAGCAGGCACCGCAAGTGACATTAGCGCACAGGGCTGTGTCCCCTGTACTTGCACAGACTCCTGAGTGGGCCTGCCTCTGCCCTGCTCACATTCTTCAAAAATGTTGTCACCTTAATGCCACCCACTAGACTGAGAAAGCCTCCAGTCAGGGACCGTGTCCTAATATCAATCTTCACATTAATTGTCCCTGTTACACGATGGTGCTTGACACATTTTGACTGAACCGATTTCTCTCCCCCAAGCTGGCCAGGCGAGAGTCAATTAAATGAAAGCATCGCTATGGATCATGCAAGGCAGCGATGGTCAGCAACGGAAGCAAAGGAGGAGAGTGCCAAAGATCGAAGCTGGTTGCCAAGACCCATCGCGGCACTTTCTAAAGAAGAGTATTATCCCCAAGACGCAGCCTCTCCAACCCTGACGGGTTCATCTTGAGTGGAGTTTTAAGTGTCCAGACCTCAGAGCTTCAGGTATCATTAGATATCCCCCCTTGCTCTGACCAGAGGCACCTCCTGATGATTTTAGCTCCTGGGAACCTGCCAGCAGGGAGCACATGAGCTATGCACCCAATACAAGTAAGTGTCCACTCGGTCCACCACTTCCATTGATTAGTGGGACCTCATAAGGCAGGAAAATGTTGATTACTCAGTTTCCTGTGAGTTTCTATGCAAGTCAACCGCCTAGAGCCTAAGCAGCTCTGGGACACTGGAAAGTGAGTTTCCAAAGTTGCAAGGCTGAGAGAGAGCCTAACCCTGACCTGTACTAAGGTTTCCAAGTAGATGGCACCTTTGAGCACCCTCCTGGCAGCCAGCCAGCTTCCCTGGGGACATCCTGACCTTACAAACTTCTACAGCACCGTTTCTCCTCCTCGGCACCATGGACATTTTGAAGCCGGTGATTCTGCCTTGCAGGGGCTGTCCTACGGCCTATAGGATGGTTAGTGGCATCCTTAGCCTCTACCCACTCAATGCCAGTAGCATGTCTCCTCCCAGCCCCAAGGGCTGTGACAACCGAAAATGTCTCCAGATACTGTCCAAGGTTCCCTGGGGAGCAAAACCATCCCCAGCTGCAAACCACTGCTCTAAAGCAGAGTGAAAGGACTGTACACACGTTTGGAAGCTGTAAGTTCAGAAGGCTCAGAGCAATAGATTGTCCTAACACTTCACCTGCTGACAGGGGCTGGGGACACTTCCCCGCATGCTTGTTTTTTCAGAATTCAGTCTTGGCGTTTCCGGTGTCAGACAAGCCAAAGTTCGCAAATGAGGAAAGATAAAAGCAAGGCTAACCTTTTGTTGAAACTCAAAGCATGTTCCCTGCAATCTGAGTCTAGAGCAAAGGTTAGTGATTTTCGCTGAGAGTCTGTCTTACATTTCCTACCATTTTCTGTGCCAGAAGGACACACATGCACTAATATAATGTCAGAGACGTGGCCTGCTCCAGCTTTCTGCAGACGGTGGGGCGCTGGCGGACTGCCCCTGCTCCCCACCCGAGCTCCAATCTTGTGGAGAGTCACTGAGGTCCCAGGAAAAAATGTAAATATGTGTCCGCTTTGTAGTCTTGCCACTAGTCATGCATCACAGACCAATTTCCAATAAAATCTGAAATGAAGTAATAGTCATAATAAAGAAAGGTGAAATTCAACACTACCTCTATCTTACTTAACTAATAAGAATCGTGGTCCAGGGTTTTGCTTAAATAAAATTAAAATATCACATCCAGATCACCATAATTGGATTTAGTGTGTCAGAAAAATTGTACTTATATTTAAATCCTATAACTCAAAGCAGTTCGAATAATACACCTTCCGGGTGATTCAGACAGATTACTAAGTATATCCCCGCACTACTTACTGTTTCCAAATTATCACATTTTAAGAAGTACATTAAAATATGAGAAATCCTTGAATTCACAGTGGTTTTTTAAATGTTTTTTTATCTATCATAAGAAGAAAATAAAAACTTCCCAGGTCTCATATATTCAGAGATTAAAAATAAATTTCTAAAAGTTCTGATCTTCAGAGAGAAAACCCAGAGAGTGCTTTCCAAAGTAAAGCCCCTAAATCATATTTTAAAGGTTAATATAAATTATATTTCTCTTGGCCAGCCAGAATAAGCGAATACCAGAAATCCCTAAGGCTGGAGGCACGGGGATCTAAACAGCACGTTCCTCCCCTCCCGTCTGTGTTCCTAGACAACCTCCCAGAGGGCAGGGGAAGGCAGCCAGCAGGCTGCTGCTGAGTCACCGAGTCACCTCCAAAGCCGATCTACAGCAAGGCGAGCCCTGTGGAAGGGTGCGTCTCCTAAAAGGAAGCAAAACCACGCAGCCACTGACCCCAGCATGGTCATCCCCACGTGTCCTCAGGGCTCTGGGCCACTCGTAGCGGCCCATGTGACCACTGCCATTCCACGGGCCCCAGGAAGGAATGGCCTGCCCTGGCTCCCTCCGCTCCGCAGGAGGCCCCCAGCAGCAGGGGCTCTGGCCTCAGCCAGGAAACTCGGCAAATCAGCCCAGCTGCGGGCTTCGGGCCTGTGCTCAGTCTCACCTGTTTCCCTGTTTGCAATGGCTGGCGCATCAAACGGCACCCGCGGTGATTCAAAGAGGACCTGAAAGCAAGCAGCTCCGCGCCATGCAATGACAGCAAGGGGTGTGAACAGGTTAAAGAAAACCTGGAGGACACTGCAGCGTGTGTATCACAAATCCCAGGCTATGCATTCGGAATGCATGCTGAGGAAATAAATCAGTCGCGTGTGCAAGGATGTGTGACAAGGATGTTTACTGCATCATTAATTATTCATAAGAGCACAAGCCAAAGGCAACCGAAATGCCCATGAGCACGGGAATGACTGCATGGATTCGGAGGTGGCCACACAACAGGAGACAGGGGCCATTCAAAATGCCCAAATGATAATAGTGAGAGCTCCTGTGGACGGAGTCAGGCCCTGCCCAAGCGTGTGCATGTCTGAGCCCACTTAATCCTCACAAAGTAGTATTTTTATTGCATTCCTTCTACAGATGGAGAGACTGGTAAATAGAGATGTTAACTATCTCTCCAGGGTCAACAGCTATTAAGTGACAGCTTCATGGTTTGAATTCAGAGAATAATGCTCTGAAGTAAATGTGCTTTTGAAATTGTGGTCACCACAGAAGAACAGTAGCTCGTTTATCAGCCACTGCAGAAGGGAGATTCAGATTTTGCTTAATAAAAAGAGATTTCACCAAAGACAAGACAGATATGTTCTAACATACACACATACACACACACACACACACATTAAGTTATTGGATCAAGCTCCATCATAAAACAAATACCAAAAAAAATGGCAAAAAATGGCATGTGGCATAAAACTAATAAAAGCACTAACCCAGACTGCAAGAGAAGCGATGCTGGTTGATAAGATCAGCCCACAGATTCACTGCACTGGCCAGTGATAAAAGGCAATGGATAGAGTACAAACACATGAAGAGAGGCAGATAATAAATCACCACATGGGCACCGCTCAACTTCTGCTTCTGTAAAAACTATAGGATTATTCACTTTAAGGCACTGCAGCTTACATATTAAAATAGCAAAGATACATTTAACACAGGTAAGATCTAAAGTTGGCAACGCCGTCTTCCCAGACACAGAAAGCCCCTCTCTCCACTCTATACCCTGGGAGTGCTGTTTTAATAAGAAAAACCAGGGCTAAGACCGGACTCCTTGCAGTTATAAAATGTAAGTCAAGGACAAATGAAGAAAGTACTATTTTATATCACATGCATCCTTATGTAGACATGCTCAAGTAGCTCACAGATTAAAAAATAACAAAATCAAAGATTCCCCGAATTCCTCCTTGCAACACAACTTCCTGAGATCATTTTTTACACTCACCCTTCCCTCTCCTACAATTCTCGCCCTAACACTCCACTCAGTGTTTTGGCTAAGGGCACCTCCAGGTGACCAAACCCAAAGGGCACTTCTGTGCACGTGGCTCACCTGTCCCAGGCGCTGTCCCTGCCCACCCCCGATCCCGCAGGTTCCTGATACATCTCATTACTCATTCTCGGTTCCCCGTGAACTCTGCGCGCCCCCCCAAACCTGAACTCTGGGGTCACAGAATAAAGTACCTGCAGGGGCCTAGGCAGGAGCCCAAAATGAAAGAGGAGGACACCTGGCCCTTGTGACAAGCTGGGGAGCACCAGCCCGGCCAAAAGGGGACCGCTGGCCCTCACCTGTGGGTTTCAGGTGGTCGGATCTCTGGATTTGTAAAACGCTCACACTTCTCATTTTTATGGGAACTTTCCTTATTTTTTTACATGTTGTCAATGATTGTTTTTAACGTTTTAGTACTGTAAGCCAAATCAAACAGAACTGCGGCCTGCATACAACCTGCAGGCCTCAAATGAGTGTTCTCTCCCCGGGAAACAGATGTGTGGCCAAAAAGCTCACTCAGCTTTCCCAGAGAGTTTTCCATTGTTGACCTTAAAATATAATATAGACAGTGTAGAAGATTAAGGAATTTCAGGAATCAAGGGACAGACCAAAATAACCACCTGGGAGAAAGAGGCCCCTCTCCAGTACCTCCAAATCACACCAGTAGACAAGCCAGCGGCATCCCTGTGCCCCACTTCTCACTAACACCCTTCCTATCACCACAGGCAGCCAGAGGGACTTTCCTACACCACACGCCGGAGTGTGTCAACAGCCCACATAAACCTTCAGTGGCTCCCTAGTGTCTTCAATAGAGAGTCCAGACTTCTCTCAGGCCTCAGAGTCCACCAACCCACTCAGACGCCTCTGCCTCAGCCCGGTCAGGCTGCCTATCGGTGAGCTCTCACTTCCAAACCTCATTAAAGTTGTTCCCTCTGTTCCCTTCTTTTCCAGTTAATTCCAGTTTTGTCTTCAAGAAATCAGCTCCAATGTCACCTCCTCCAGGACACTCTCCTTTGGTGTACGGCACACACATGCTTGTGCACACGATTCTAATGCTAACAGGCACCTCCTCTTTGTGTCTGCAGAACCCCAATTCTCAGCAATATCACTGATACACAGTGATGTCAGGGTCTGGTACACTGCAGACAGGAGGGAGCTGTCTGCTGGAAGTATAATTAAATCAAAGTTCTGCTTAAGGGTAAAAGACTAGGATTTTCCTGCTCAAAATAGAGTGGCAAAGGCTGCCTGGGGGTGTCTTCTTGTCATTCAGTCTTTCCGGGGGGCTCCAGGACACTGGGGTGGGATTGTCTGATGGAGCTATCGATTCTCTGCACCCAGTCTGAGCACCTGACATGTTATGGCATTTCCAAAGGATTGGCGAAAAGCGTTTATTGCTGCTAGAAGACAGAGTGCTGTTGCCAAATCATAAATCCTCAGCATATTTTCAACAAAACTCTCAGACAGCCAAGTGCCTTTTGCTATAGCAAGTTGCCATAGTGACTATTTATTTCCTGGGGTGAAAAAAAGTTTCACTAAACTTTTTAAAAGCTATAATAAAATAAATATGATGGTTTATATAGCATCTAATCCATTATTTGGAAAGTAGAAAATACTGTCTTTATGCTTCACAAACATCCCATCCTGCTTGGGAAAGCCACACTAGAAGGATTTTTTTTAACGCTCTGCCCAGAACTATCTAATATGACTAATTCCATACTTCATCAACATGAAGATATCATTAAATGATGAGATCCCCAGGCAAAGCAAGTGAAAAAGGTTTCAATTTGACTTATGAAAATTAATTCTTACACCTCCCTTTCTCCAGTCCGTTTCCTAAGTGCACTCACCTTCCCCCAACTTTCCAAGTTCTCCATACAAGGACGGAAGAGGCAGGACAGGGCTGGACAAGAGCAAGGCGACCCTGGGAAGAGCACTCGCACCCCCACAAGCACAGCGGTGATGGCAGAGAGCTCAGGGCCCGGCCCGGAGCCGGCTTCAGGCACCACCTCCGGGCAGGCGCAGGGTTTCCTCGCTGGACACCGAAAGCTCTCGCTCCTCAGGAAATGGGACTGCATCCTGGAAAAAAATGAACTTTGCATAGCCTGGAATGAAACGTGGCTTTCTTTACCTGATTTTCACAAAGTTTCCACGTCTGTGAGTGTCCCACTCAAGTGAGCTGAGCAGGGAAATTCAGAATAGTCCTGCAGCAACCACCCCGGCAGCCTCTGAAGATGTTCCCAGGAGGGTGGCACAGAGCTTGGCAGAGGCTGCCGCTGTGTTTCTGTTATACAAACTCAGAGAAAAATATATGGCGCTTTATTGTGGAAGGGGTCATCTACTTCTTTTATTTGAAATCTTACAAGTAAAACATTGCATTGCTAAAGTTCAAAGTCAGATGATATTAGATGAAAAGAGGCTAAAACATACAACATAAAAAGTTAACCTGGCTGTGGACTTACTCTAGACCAGTGGTTCTCAAACTGTGGCCAGGAGGCTCCTGGGGTTCCTGAGACCCTTTAGATGGTCCATGAGATCACAGCTATTTTTATAATCAACCAAGATGCTATTGTCCAGTGGAGTTTTCCAGAGGGTATGTGATGTGTGAGGTCATAAACTAAATGGAGCAGCAAATTTAGGAATCTCACTGTCTTATAGTAAGCCAGGCAACAAGTACATTTATAAAAATGTAAAACAGTGCCACTCTTACAATAGTTTTGCTTTGAAAAAGATAATTATTTTCATAAAAATGTGCTATTTACATTAACATGTACTGAGATTATTATTACTTTAAATGAATTAATAGTTAAATACTTTAAAAGGTATCTATTTTCATTTCTAGTATAAATATTGACAGATATAATCCATGTTAACAAAAGTTTTGGGGGCATTCTCAATCATTTTTAAGCATATAAAGGAACTGAGACCAAACATTTGAAAATGCTATTTCATAGTATTGGGATCTCAATTTCTTTTCTTTTTCCATTTTTTTTATTGTGGTGAAATACACATGGCATAAAATTGACCACCTTAACCCTTTTTAAGCGTACAGTCAGTGGTATTTATGCATTTATACTACTGTGCAACCATCCCCACCATCCATCTCCAGAAGGCGTTTCATTTTGTAAAACTGAGCCTCTGCACCCCACATGGTACTTCCAGTGGTTTGTCCACTCCTGTCGCCTCAGCCGAGTGGCCACACCAACGAGCGCTCTGCCTGCCCCAGAGAGTGTGTCCGTGCGGACGGGCACGTGGAGGGGCCCGGGCCTGGGAGGCAGGACGCCATCTCCTCCACACTGGAGTCCCACTGACAGCAAACCGCCTCACCTCCACTCCTATGGCCTAACTGCGTTTGGGGGCAGTCCGACACTGAGCCCCGATGTCCAATCATGCTTAAATGGGATTGTTTCCAAGCGGCTGACAAATGAAGGGTTGTAAAACAGGGCTTGCTAGTGTGCTCTTAAGTGTTGATGTGGGTGATGGAAGTGACTGGGAAAAGGAAACTAAAAGCAAATCCATTAGACTTTAGGGCCACATGACGTAGCTGTGGTCCCTGTACTCTGTACTTCAAAGCCCCATATAAAAGAGACTAGATGTGCTGCCACCATGTGTGAAGCTTGGAGCAGCTGAGAGACAAGAGCTCAGTGCTCATCACCAAAACCAAGTTTTTAAGGCATCATATGAATATTCATGAGATCTCTTCTTTGGCATATTTACAGAGCCTACACTGTAGGATTTGCGACTTAAGGAGATGAGGAGAAGGTATGGGGATAGTGACCCCTTTTTACAGTTTGGCAAAGATAGATAGATGATGATAGCTAGATGATAGATGATAGATAGATGATAGATAGATAGATGATAGATAGATAGATAGATAGATAGATAGATAGATAGATAGATAGATAGATA